ATATTATTTTTCACTTCAAATTTCTTTAATTTTTTTCTTTACTTTTACCATTTGTTAGTTTAAAATTGCAATAATGACTTTGTTTTTGGTTTATTTCCAACCTCTACATAAGAGTAAGAAACTCTCATGCGTTCATTTACTCTTTTACCATGAGCGGTTCAATTTTTTTATTGAACCATTTGCCCATATAAAACGGCAACGACTTTGATTGTATTTGCACGCTTTGTATGAACTTGCGGTTCAATTTGGTCGAGTGAACCTCTAGTCAAATGTAAAGCGATTTTCCCTCAGTCATTTCTTTTCTCTTTTGTATTTACTTTGCATAACATTGGAGGCTCACTTTTTTATTGAACCGCTTGCACGCATTAATTTAAGAGTTATGATTATTTTACGAACATATTTTGCGGGACTTGTTTTCTGTTTTATTTTTATATTTGTTTGTATGTTTTGTGTTTATTCAATATTGAACATAGTCCCAATGTGAATGTTATTTCATTTGCATGCTTTGTAAGCAGCGCGGTGCAATTTTTATTCTGAACCTTAGTATATTTTAAGAGGAATGTATTTTCTCTTTTATTAATTATGAGTAATGTTGGGTGTAACTAACATACATTGTGACCGAAAAGTTTCCGGAAATAAATAAATAAAACGCAAAATTCTTAATCTTCATCAATATTTATTTTATCTCCTTCAAAATATGCTCCATTAGAAGCGATACACAAATGCCAACGTTTCTTCCAATCATCAAAACATTTTTATAGGCGCTTTCCGGTATGGCTTTGAGTTCCCTCTGCGAATTCTGTTTTACGTCTTCTATGGATTCAAAACGCGTTCCTCTGAGTGGTAATTTGAGGTTGGGAAACAGGAAAAAGTCACACGGTGCAAGATCAGGTGAATACGGTGGCTGTTCGATGGTATTTATTGAATGTTTGGCCTTAAAATCGTTGATAATGTTGAACAAATTGAGGTGAATCGGAACAAGCCGGGCGTTGACACGTCGCATACACAAATTGTCCACCAAAATCAAACGAGCCATCTCACGACCGATGCCTAGCTCTCGTGCTATCTCTCTAACACTCACATGAGGATTTTTGAACACGATTTCCTTTGCCTTTTCAATGTTTTCGTCGGTGGTAGAGGTCGAAGGTCGTCCAGAACGCGGCATGTCTTCGACGGTCGTACGACAGTCCTGAAAGGCTTTGTACCACTCATAAACTTGAGTTTTCGATAAAACTGATTCCCCATAAGCCTTTTGTAGCATTCGCAACGATTCTGCACACGAAATTTCGTTCGAAAAACAAAATTTGATGCAAACTCTTTGTTCAATATTTTTTTCCATTGTTTTTTTCGCAACGCACTACTGAGGTGAACTGGTTTCAACAGCTGCCGTAAACGAACTGTCCGACAGATCGCGCTCATTTTTGGCATAGTAATTAAGGACAGTGCTGCCAAACTACATAAACTTAAAATATCGAAAAATATACAGCGCGCGAATTTTAAATGAGAATTTCCGAAAGCTTTTCGGTCACAATGTATGTATTTGTGGTTTTGTTTGGATTATACGTTTTGTGTTTATGTTAATATGTTTGGAAAAGCTATTATAAAAAATGTTAAGTAGCAAAATAGCTAATAAAAAAATAAGATCTAAAAAGGAAGCTTTGTTAAGGTGTTTAGTGAACACTCTGAACCATTCGACGCCACGCCTCTGACATATACCTGTAAATTAGTGAATTTAAATAAAATGAAACTATAACTAAGTTTTACACCAGCGAATCCTTTATACCCTACCTTTGAAACAAAAAGTCACATTTAGTCTCATATGGTATTTTAAGCTCTACACTTTGCATTGTCAGTCGGTATCCCATTATTTTCCCATTATTTTTATTTCATAGAGATGAGGATGTTTATCCAAATGCAAAATACACTATAGATGCCGTCAGATAGGCCCATATGCTAATCGCGCTATTGAATGAATAAATATGAATGTTTCTTAACACTTTCACTAATAGTAGAAATATTTTCAACCGAATGCCTCAGATAAAATTTCTTTAAATTTCGTCACAGTTTTTTCTATAGTGCGCTCAGATAGATAATTGTGTTAATCATAATCTCTTTATAATGCACAAAATGTACTCACAATTGAATCACTGGTGTTGTAGTGAGTTTTCACAATTTTAACAGGTTCAGCGGTTATTGAACGATCCATATTGTTAAATAGCAAACTTTAAATTAAACGCATAATGTTTTGACTGGCATACATGAAATCAGGGCCATCAAATAAACTGTAAAGTTACTACTGATTGTTTAAATCCTTTATATATAACTACTTTTCTCCATTGGTTAAACTAGATGACGATATCAATAAAAATAATAGATGATTTTCTGTGTTTGGGTATTTTTTTGTTTTTTTGTATTTGAAAAGAAAACTATTTTAATAACATACAAAATGGTTTAAAATTTAAAACTAAACAAAATACAATATTAACTGAACTTAATAGATATAAATTAAATGACTTAATTAACTTATATTATTTTTGGACTTAGAAAAATTTATAAATTTAAGAAAAATTATATATAGACTTTTTAACATAAAAAATAATTTTAAAATTAAATTAAATACAATTAATATTTTAGTTTTATTTTTTTTAATTACACAATAAAAAAGTGTTTTTAATATTTTTATATTGTTTTTATATACAATAAACAGCTCACAAAGGTACAACAATAATTTTAAAAACAATTTATTATATAAAAAAAATACATTTTATTTAAATAATTTTATTAATTATTACTCACAACTTATCATTTAAAAATTCGTTGTGCAATTGCGACTGAAAAAAATAATTTGCAATTTTTTAAACATTAAAATCAATATGAAGGAAATTTTAATATAACAATAATTGTTTTTTTCAACTTCATATAAGCTTCATTTAACATTTATATTTTGTTTTTCTGTAATTTAAAACTTAATCAACTTTTTGCTTCATTACAAATGTCACGGACTCTTACTTTATGTTAACTATTAAATACGCATGTAGCACATATAAACGAAACATCTTATTAAATTAATAATTAAACAATAATTTAAGTATTCCAAATTTATTTATTTTACATGCTATTTTAAATATAAATCATTTTTTATCCAAAAATTAAATAAAATATTTTAAGCTGAAGAATTAAATAATTTACAATATATGGCAAGATTTAATAAATTAATTATTAATATAAGCTTATGCAGTAAGTTTTGTTTATTTCTTGTTAACTTAATTCAAAATTTAATTTAATTGTTCATTTAGTTTCCAAAAATTATTTATTAATAAATACAATATATTATATATACAATATAGCAAAAACAATTAATTTCCCTTCATATTCTTCTTACAAAAATTCAATAAGCTTGATGGTAAAAAAAAAGATAAAGATTTAATTAAGCAAATCATATCTAAAATTAATTCAATTAAGACAAAAAAAATGGCTTCGCAATGCCGAAATTAATTACTATAAATAGATTATTCACACACATATTTATGATATATATCTACATATACATACAAGATCATTTTCGGCATTTGATATATGATATATGACTTTATCTGTCTGGCCGTACAAATACTTAAAAAACATGCCATCCATATGATTAGCTCAAGAATTACTAGAGAGAGACAGATAGAGAGAGAAATAGATATGAAGACTGAAATTACTCTTGTCAAAAATATATATAGTTTTTAAGTGCTCCGAAGTAAGATTTTTACCTCCTTAAAGATATTTTAATGTATCATTTTCATAATTGTAGGATTCAAACATCATCACAAAATTAAGATGTTATACATGACATAAAATATGATGGAACTGTGTACGACCCCATCGATTAGCCCAAAAACTGTTAAACTAGTTTGTTTGCTAATACAAAGATATTTACAGGGAGGGTTATGCTGACTGACATTTTACTTTTATAAAGTAATAAAATAAATAAGACATTTACATATATAGTTTATAAAGTCTTCGAAATAAGACCTTCACATTCCAAAAAATATCTCGACATACTAAACATATCATGATCGCAATTGGGCTATTGAAAACATTGTCCCATAAAATATATATGTCATACAAAATATACATACGATATAAAATATATACACGATGTAAAATGTTTATAGGATATAGAATATGATGAAATTGTAAGCGATTCGACAATAAGCTGGTTGGAATATTACCAAACCGATACAAAAAGGGATGAATATGCAGACAGGTATATTACTTTTGTCCACACTATATATAGTTTATAGGGTCTTTGAAATGAGACCTTCACCTCTCTAAAAATATTTTAACAAATTTAACGTTTCATTTCTGCAATGAGGTGAATCAAATTTTCGTCACATGAAATAAATGCCATATATACGTGATATGAAATGTGATAAAACAGTGAATGAACTGTCCATTAGCTCAGGAACTGATAGACTAAACTTGTCATATAAATCATATTTCGTAAACGTCACATATCTAACGTGAAAGGCATTAATAAAAGACAATATGGTGCCGTGCAAATAATAACATTATGACGATCACATATTTAAGACGCAATTATGACGATGTTCAGTATTGATGAAATATGTATGTATGTGAACTGTGTAATTATTGATATTTTCAAATATTATTTGAATACTAATTTTTTAATATAACAAAATTCAACGGATGTAATAAATCTAGAATATATGTAATCATATAAAGAAACTTTAAACTAATCTAATATGCATGTACGTACTGCATATTTCATATTTTAATAGAAATACATGACAATATATGATAATTCATTGAAAAATTGTATAAAAATGTAGTAGAATTCAATGGGCTTACTTAATAACTAAAAGTATTACTAAACTATACATAGGCGTGCATATAAAAAAATCTTAAATAAAAGCCTTCTAGAACATAAATTATAAACAGCACGAAAGTTTATATATTTATACACTAATTACATTAAATACAACTGTACTCTATTGTCTCTAAGGAACTTTTCTTAATTTATACAATAATTTCATATATATATATATATAAGTGCTAAGTAGTTTACTTTGCAACATTTACAATAATATATAAAAATCTATCTGGAAATCCCATTTTTCATACTATTTGTACCATAATTATTTACATAAGGCACATAGTTATTTACATTAGTTACCTTAAAATCTAATTCGGGCATGAACATTTTATACTAATACTCTAAAAATACCTACACTTAGTAACATCTAACTCTGCCTATTTGATATGACTATAGATTCATTTTACAAATTTGGAGGTTTGCCGTGCACACGAAACCGATAAAGGCAAGTATACTGCGGGTTACCATGATTGGATTCAATGCGTAATTCCACAATTTCATATGGGCGTTTTATTGTTAAATTTTGCACTGGAAAATATTGCAATGAAGCGTCATTGTCCACATACTCATACTCGCCGAACAGTACCGGTTCTTGATCCTTTTCATGTTCAAGGCCCTTAAAGTGATAATATTAAAGATATATTATTAAAAAATATAAGTTAAAATAAATTGTGATAGTTTCTCACCCAAACTGTGAAATTTCTTGGTGCTGATTCTATGGCTGCAGTTGGAGACAAGGTTTTTGGTATGTGTTCAAGTGTGAACCCGGTGATATATACCAAAGAATTTAATTTCAATACTAAATGTAAATTTAGAAATATTGATTTAAATTAATACATTTTAACAAGAACTATTCTACTCCGACGAAGCTTACCTAAGAATCCGGGAAATCCCTGAAAAGCCCAGCATTCACCTGGTTGTACATTCGGTGAAATAGCTACACGTGGCGTATTAGTGGGATACCAAAGTGGAATACCGAAGACGGATATTTGTGCAGATTTTGTCTGGTAGCTTTCGGTGCAACGTGTCGACAGTATTTGACCGCCAGCGGATTCAAGTGCAAAATCTACCAAACCAGTTTTATCTGCGTCATATATTGCCAACACTGACTTAACAATTTTGCGCACCTCTTGTTCCGATAGTGCGGAACGCAATTCCCCTCTCAACATATCAGCGCTTTCCTTGTGTCGCGTTTCCACAGTCAATATTATTTCGCGTTTAAGACGTTCGCTAATATCACGCATAAGTAACATACCGGAACGATCAATCTCAGCACGTATTTTATCATCGGAACGATTATTTAATTCTTCCAAACGCTTTTCCAAATAATCTTTAGCCACAAACGTGTTCCGAACCCAATTCTGCAAATCTATTTCCTCAAATTTCACACCAGAGTTCTGATTCTGTTTAAAACCCAAAATCTCAATCAAAGAAAGTTTCACTTGCTGATTGAGCAACTTGAATTGCTCATTTTGTAGTGCTGAGAATTTACTTTCAATTTCAGCGAGAAGTCCACTTAATCGCTTATCGGTCAACAACTCATGCTCCTGCAATCGTATGAGTAAATCGTCCTGATTTCCTTTTAATTTTCTCAACGAATTCTGTAACTCTTCATTTTCCCCTAACTTGTCGGACAGTGAAAGTTTTATAAATGCAATTTGATTGTTTAGTTCATCGATCAAACGTAGCTGTTGTTTGAATTCAGTTGCAACATTTATACCAGCACCAGAGCCTTCCGTCTTCGAACTCAAGCGTTTTTCATCTATAGCAACGTTAATTCGCGCATCTACAAACTTCGCTAATTCCGGTGCACTCAACAGACGTCCCAAAAGTGCATTTAAGTCAATGTTTTCCATTATGTATGTCAGGTGTGTTTGCTTATTTACGTTGATTTGTTGCTTTACGACTTCTGTTATTTCCTTCAAGTTCTCAGCAGTTAATCTTACGGGATGTGAGCTAGACCAGCCAGCAGCCTCTAGTTTCAATTGTATGACCCCTGCTAAATGTTGAACCTGATCTTCACTTAAATTTGCCAGATTAATTTGGCTGTCAAACTGTCCTTTCTTCGCCATTTGTTCAAAATTTTCATGCATGATCTTGACAATGATTTGCATCTGTTGTGGTGTTAGAGGTGCGGATTTCTCTCTCTGCAGTCTTTCTTCTTTTAATTTGATTTCCAACAGCTGCTGCACATAACTATTAATGTGGTTTAATATATTTTCATATTCTGCGGCACTCAATGAATTTTTCATGTTCTGTTGCAATTTTTCTATATGTATATTGGCAATTGTGTCCTCTTTAGCTCTTCGTAGTAGTTTTGCACTAAAGCCTATAATAGCAGATAATGAGAAGAAATCCTTCAGTGTATTCCCAATATTAGCCACACGACTTCCTAGGGTAGCGTAAAATGACGATGGTAGAAGTAATTGCGCCTTTCGTAGATAATTATAATCCTCATTCTCACCAAATAAACGCCACGCTAAAATACAAAAAACAACGTACAATCGAAAGGTATTTCAAATGTGCTTATATTACGTTACTACTTTCTTAAAAATTAAATAACTCTCTACATAAAAGTACTAAGAACATGGCTAATTACAATTAGCGAAACAAAATATCCAACTGCTAACAAAAGTTGACTTATGTATTAAGGCTCAGACCCTGCAAGACTAAGGCATTCCAACTATGGAACTCCAAAAATTTTTACGACTGATTAACATTCTAAATTACGCCTTTGACAACTGTGAAGAATCAGATTTAAAACTAATGAGACGAGATATGAGATACTTGGACAGAAGTAGCTTTGCCGCCGCAAAAAACCAATTAACCAATAAGAATTGTTTTCATTAAATTGAATTATTATTTTCACACATGAAGGTATGGATGTTTTCGTAATATGCTTTTTAAACAGTAAGTATCCAAACCTCTCAAAGAAGACTCAATGATCTTCTAGATCAGACTATAAAGTTATATTTCTATGGGGTAATGAAGTATAAAATTTAGAAGTGATTTAACTTTATATTAAATATAATATATTTTGATTAGATAGATGGGTAGATAGAGTTGATTGGTCAAAATCATGCACAGTTCTGATAGATCAGTACTAGATACTAAATACTAGATACAGAGTTTTTACTGGTTATTAGTGGCGATACAAATTACTTAAGATGTGTGTGTGTCATCAATGAATTTTAAGAGATCATTTAATCTATCAGGCAGACAACTACCCGCAAAGACGGATAACAACTCAAGAATTATAAAATTTTAATAAAGTGAAGAGGATAGGATGGAGTATGAAGTGGTGAGATGTAAAAAAAATGGAATATAGTAAATTAGAAAAAATAACTATAGATGCGTGAATATTCTAACCTATTTTACGAGTTAAGTTGAGCTTAAAATTCGGATGACTTTCCGTTTGTGGGGAAGCAAACAACTCAAAAGTTACAAAATTTTCATAAAATTGAGAGGGTGGGATAGGACTTGAGATATAAGCGATGTAAAAGAGTAAAATTTAGTGAAGTAGAAGAAATAGCTATTGATGAGTGAATATTCTAACACATTTTGCAAGTTGAAGAACCTTAAAATTTTTAAGTCGCAGATCCACTAATTAATCGTTTGAATTTGCGTTTGCTATAGGATCTTTAAACAGATAGACGACGTCATGAAGTATATAACTGTGTTCCAAAAGCATACAAATTGTTGAACAAGTGTCTATTAACATTCTCATCTAAATTTTAACATACACAAGAAAGGTGAAATGTGCAGGTATTTGACCTTTAGGCACATATTTAGACACATGATACTGCACAAACCAACGTATGATTATTTGCTACAAATTGCTCAAAGTCAGGCTCTCCGAAGGTTCTTCAATGTACCATGGTACATTCGCACGAATGACATGCTAAGAGACTTTAGAATAGATCGAGTCAAAAAATACATAAGGGACAGAGCTCGGAAGCTATATGCGAAATCCGTCATTGAAGAATCACGAAGATTATCAGGAATACTCAAAATAGTCAGTGAGATGGCTGGGACTCCTCCAGCTATCATAGAGTAAAATTCCCCAGATGCACTAACTCGGAAAAGGCTTAACATAATAATAATACTAATATATTGAAAATTTTAGAGGTTGCAATTTTTTTTTTTAATATTTAATGTTTATTACTAATAAATAACCTCAGAGGGAACGATGGGCACTCATTTCTAAATAAAGAAAAGATAAAATATAACATTAGTAAGTTCTGACTTCATGGAAATGATTTTTTTTTTTTTCATAATTAATAAGCAACTATAAAGGTATTAAGTTATCCTTCTTCATTTACGTAAGAAGTTATCTTGTTAGAATTCCTTATAATAATACATTTAAAACAAAAAAAAAAAATTTTTTTAAATTATTTTCAAAACAAACTTACGAAATTTGATATAAATGAAGAAGGATAGAGTGTTTGGGTTAAATATTTCGTTTATATATATATATTTATGTAATTCAAACAAATACACTACAAAAATACTTACCTGACTAAAGGTCTTAAAATCTGACAAAATGAAACGCGTTTTTTAGTTTGTGTGTTTGTTTATGGCAAATATTTAATTTATATATTAACATAAAGTTATTTTTCAATTACAAAATGTTTAACTCATTTAACAACATTTAGCTATTATTAAAAATAAATTGAGAATCTCTTCTTTAAATAAACTTATACTGTTTAAATTTTAAAGCTAAAATATGCGTTCAGTTAAATATTACAGCGTTCTCTCTATCCTTCTCCAATTTTTATCAAATATTCCCGATGTAGTTAAGCGTGTTTTAGTTTAAAGTTGGGATTTAGGAATATTAAGGGAATTATAATATTTGTTAAGGAGGTGATAATAAATTTAAATAAAAATTAATTTGTCCGAAATGCTAAGACTTTGTACTTTAGAAATATTTCTTAATCTATAAGATTTTATATTTAAGAAACATATATTTTTTGGGCGGTGGTAATAAATTTTGTTTTAGAAACACATTATAAAAAATAATAAAAGTAAATTAATAAAAAAAAATAAAAAAATAAAAAAATAAAAAAAGAAAATAATAATATCAATAATATTATTATAAAAAAATTAAAATAAATTAAAAAATAAATAAAAAATACAAATAAAATAAAAATAAAATAGAAAAAATAAAAAAATTAAATAAAGATAAAAAAATAAAAAATAAATTAAAAATAAAAAAAATAAAAATAAAAATAAAAATAAATAAAAAATAAATAGAAATAAAAATTAATTAAGAATAAAAAAAGATGAAAAATACAAAATAAAAATAAAATAAAAAATCAAATAAATAAAAATAAAAAAAATAAAATAAAATCAAAATATAAAGAAATCAAAATAAAATAATAAATAAATAAAAAAATAAATAAAATAGTAAATATTAAATTAAAAATATAAAAATATAATAAAAAATAAAAAATAAAAATAAAAAAAAATTACTATAAATAACAAGCAAAAATAGAACAAAAAAGAATAAAATAAAACAATAACATAAAAGAATAACAAAAAAAAGCATAAAAGAATAAAAAAATAATAATATAAATAAACAAAAAAAATTATTAAAATAAAAAGTATTCTTAATATAAAAATATTTTTTTTTTTTTTTGAAAAAAATTTTCTAATTTTTTATTTCTCTTTTTCTATTTAAAACTATTTAAAATAGTTTTTAGAATTAATTAAATATATATATTTTGTGCATATTTAAATTGGAACTATAACTATACAATTAAATAAAAATTAAAAATGAAAAGAAACAAAATCGCACAAAAATTGATATATACATCTACAAAAAATTGTCTCAAACTCTTTCGAAATATTCAGTATTTTGAAAAAATTTTTTTCCTTCATCGTACATGTTTTCTGTGACTTTTTTAAGATACAAGACATATTCGTCAGTCCAACTGCGAGCATTTTCTAAGCTAAGAACGGTTTGAGCTTTGAGATATTCATACTGTTCTCTATTGAAATATTCGGACAAATTAATTTGTGGAGGGGAAGGTAAAGTGAGGGAATCAGTAAAGGATTTAGGAGGAAATGCATCGTTGGGATGTAAATAATAATAAAGACCTGAAAAAAAATTTCACAAGCAATGTAAAAAAGCCAACATATTAAATTACTGTAATATTTTATTATCAATGGATTATAAAATTAAAAACATTTCGACAATTATATTCAAAATGTATTTATAAAATCTTATTGTTTGAATTGAAACGAGTATTTTTAAATTATGAAAATATATAGACATACAGCCTTCTATCAAAAAAAAAATCTACAAAAAATATTAAACCAGAATTTGTATTGAAGTTAATGCCCGATTTTAGAAAATAATATTACAAAGGCATTAAATAATATTTAAAAATTATTTAATTGAAAAATATACTCGCAGTATACTTATTTGACAACAAATTTTACTAAAGCTACTTTCTCTACTCTATATGTCAAATATAGCTTAGTTTTTGAGATATGGATCTTTAAAGATATAGAGGAAATTACGATACTTGTCGTTTATGTAATTAATGTAGTTACACATATAAATTATTACTAAATGGTGTGTATAATTTTGTTTACTATAACCAATGTTAAAAGTTTACAACTTTAAATCTCAATATCTCGAAAAATAAGCTTTGTCGACGTATAGTCTAGTGAAAAAAACAAATCGAAATAGATAATCAAATAGATTCTTTATCAAATTAACGCGCTTTACTTTAAGTGGATATTTAAATGGTATTTTTAATTTAACGAAGTCATATTATGTTTTAAAAAAAACTAATTTTCAGTAGCTTTCTAAGCTATTCTTCTAATTTTATACAAAAAAGAAAAACCTCGTATATTTCAAAACTTGCCTTTTTTCTATATATTTTTAATCCATTGACAAAAATATTATAAAAACTTACCAATTAAAAGTAGTAAGGGTAGTAAACACAATAAGAAAAGCAAAAAACGTTTGCGACCTTTGTTGTTCACATTGGAGGAACGCAATAGCCAAGTGTCCATGCACAGAATATTTGATATGGACAAGTAAGTGTAGTGAATTAAACTTCTAAAAGTACTCGTGATTCTTTCTCCAATAGAGGCAAAAACACCTGCATAAGAACAATAAACAAATTAATTATTTATATAAATATTAAAAGATAGTTATACCTTTTCTATTTACATCGGTAGTATATATATTGCTATGTCGTCGTATTTGACTGGAAGTTCCAACAAGCCTGTCCCAAGTAGTTGTTGTTATTGTAGTAATTATAGTAATGAGACGCATTAACCAATTTTCTTTTGTTTGCATACTGCCAGTATTATAGTAAGCCTTCTTTTGACATTGTTTTTCAACCAAATAATCAACTTCATCTGCTGAATCATAATAACTGCTTTGATCAGTATAGATACTACGTCTAGACATATTTGGCATGCCTACGTATCCATTAGTCAATGGCCTTCGATGTGGTGACAGATAAGAATAGGTATAATCGGTCTTTGGTGTTTTTCTATACAAAACAGATTTTAAGAATTATTATTCATCTATATATATATATGGTACTTTATGTAAAAACTTACTCCCAATATTCGCCAGCCAATTTATACTCCAAATAGGCAGGATGTGCCGATAAATCAGTATTAATCGCTGATTCATTGAATATACTACTGACGGATTTATTTTTTAGTGAGTTTTCAGCTAACTTACAAGTTATTTCAAACTGAGAGTTTAGATCATTTTGTGCACTTTCTGTTAATACGGTACGTCCTCTTTTATTGCCGCTTCTGGCAAATCTTGATATAAAACTGCCTGAAGAATAGCTTTCTTTGGGAGTAGATGTATTAACAGTTCCTCTTAGTTTTTCAGTTGTTATAAATTTAGTTGTTGTTGTTGTTGTTGATGATGATGATGACATATTATTTGTAGTTTTCAACTGTGATTGACCACGTTTAACGTTGCTCTCTTTTTCATCACTTGCCGTCTTTGTTAAATCAATTATTTCTTCAATTATCGTCCTAAAAATTAAATAAAATGTATAATTAGTTAATAAGGAAATATGATTCAATTTACTAATATATGAAATATAATACTAATATATATACTAATATATTGTTGCGTTCCACCCTATTTACGTGGTCGTTCGCGATCACTGGATTCTATTAACTTGAGAATCCAACTTGAGTTTAGTATAACCGTTTATTATCTATGTATTTTATAAAACACCAACCCAATATTTTCTAATAGTCATATATCTATCAAAAACTTATTTTCTAACTAAACTGACATTTTAAGAAGTTATCAAAGTTTACTTAAATTGTATATTCACAACATAAAGTAATATAAGTAAGCTAGTTACTATATATATATTACTATACCTATATTACTATATATATATTACTATATATATATTACTATACCTATATTACTCTACATATATTACTGTACCTATATTACTATATATATACTACTATACCTATATTACTATATAAATATTACTATATATATATTTCTATATATATATTACTATACCTATATTACTATATATATATTACTATATATATATTACTATACCTATATTACTATACATATGTTACTGTACCTATATTACTATATATATATATTACTATATATATATATTACTATATATATATATTACTATATATATATATTACTATATATATATTACTGTACCTATATTACTATATATATATTACCATATTGTGAGCTAGTGCACTTAAGCACTTATACTCTTTTATAACTCTAGGTATTATTATTGTATATTTTATTATTATATATATATATTATATAAATATTATATTTATTAATATCATATTATATATATTAATATTATTATGTATATAAAATTATATATTTTATTATGAGACACAAATTATTATTAAAAGTATTTATTACACATTATTGCTAAATTATCACCTATTCTATTATTAAAAATAATTTTATGTACACTATCATAATTATTACATATTTTATTAATAAGTATATATATTTTACTCATGAGTTTGGGGATAAACTTTACGTTTCTGACATTTTCAAGGCAAATATTTTTAGCAATAAAATACTCAAATTTATAAAAGACTCATTGATGAGATTTTAAAATTTTGGCAAGATCTTCGAAAATATGCAAATTAAAATACATCTACGTAATTTATGACACAATTGTGCAGTTGACTAATCAGAATTCCACTCCACACAGACGAACAGACTACCACGAGTATATAATACTGTTTTATATATGTTAAATGGCTTTAAAGATATACACAAATATGTTTCAATTATTTTGTTTGCAATGATTGGATAGGAAAGAATATAAAACTGTTAAAAAATAATAGGTAAAAATTGAGCATTTGATGTATTGGCATGTAAGACTATCACATATAGTGCGTTAGAGCACCAGAAATCTGCAAAAGCATGGCTCTAGAACACAACGTTTTATGTCCCAATGTCAACTGATTGATAAGAGATGTAAAGTTGCAATGTTAACTTCTCCAATACTCATGGTCGCAACTGCACAAAGCGAAAAGAAAATATCTCCTATTTTCTTTGCGCAAGTCCCGCTTTTTATAAGTGGAGACCAACGACCCTAGGTAAACCGCTCTTCAATTTTGCAGAGCTAACGGAAGATTGTTAGCTCTTTAACGATCTGTCAACTTCAGCAATCTGTAAACAGTTGACAACGAAACTAATTGATCTTTAGAATTGAATTGGCACTTATACCAACCAACCAATCTAATTTTGAGACAGTTTTATGCTTTGAAATAAGTGTACAAGTTGAAACTAGTTAATTCAATTTATTATAATAAACAAAATATTTATTTCCAATAATTTATAATAATACTGATTATACATAATACTTTTTAGATAAATTTATTAGATTTAATAGAATAGATTCAATTCAATGAGATCTGGTAATATATAAATCAACATATATATAAATCAATCAATAAGATCTACGTTTAGTGCAACATTCAAGCACAAGCCAATGTTATAAATTTCAATAAAAATGATATTAGGATTCATATCATAATAATTGATGTTTTTTCTAATAAAACTACACAACCTTCGGTTCGAACGTGTTATTAGTATGTAGATTATAATATTTTCACAATTCCACAAATAGTTTTCTAAAAATAAATTACATGAAAACAATTATTTTTGTTAAGAACTTGACTTTTAAAAGCATTTCCATTTACGTTTTTTTAGTTTTTTAACCTATTTACATTAAAAAATTAAATTCTGTTCCGAAATTCACGAAACTAAGAAAATAGGTAAGATTAGATATGTATACATATGTTAGGCAGTTTAGTAGATTGATTCCTGTACTATTTCTTATCATAAATTTTGATTTAAATAGAATGAAATCATCATATATATCATACAATAAGATAAGATAGTGGGATGACAATTATTTCCGTAACGAGAGAGTAAATCATGCAAAACACAAAGTAAAAAAAAGTGTTGAATAATTAAAATTAATAATATATTTCTAAATTGTATATATTATGTTGACATCTAAATGTATTGCATTTTTAAACTTAATTTATTTATTATATATATCCCTAACGGCTTTTGGAAACCTAAATAAAAAAATATTGGTTGATTTTTTTTTTTCTATCTTATAAAGTTATTTTCTATCCAAATTGCACCAATGTTTTAAAGTTTATTTGACTTGAATCGAATAAATGCAATAGAAAATTTTTTTTTCAAATATATTCATATCAATTATAAAATAAACTCTTTCACTTCACTCGTGCAAGCAGACAAAGCTCAACTTAGTTCAAAAAGTTAGTTAAAGAAAATTGAAAGTGCTATTTAACAGTATTAAAAAAAAAAGCAAAAGATGTGAAAAATATTTTTACAAACAAAAGCAATACTAAAAAGCGGAACAATAGCCCCGTTGTGGTTAATAATTTCTAAAAATAAAATTCTGTCTAACCATTTTCAGTTTTAAAAATCAACTACGAATTCTCATAAACTTTTATCAAGCACACAGTCAGTGCTCAGTTAGCTTAGCTTATGCGACATATATATTGAAAACCTGTTTTGTGATAAAATGTCATCAAAAAGCACTTAATTAAAAGGTTAGAAAAATTTAAGATATTAAAAGTGTCAATTTATAGCAGAACTTGTAAATATTTTCAATGTCAATTCTTATGCATATATTGAAAAACTACTCAGTGACAAAGTGACAGCTAAAAACACTTAAATACAAATCGTAGAAAACATATGATAAAATTTGTGAGTGCCAGCTAATAGCACTATAAACAATATTTGTAGAGATTTTTTAAGTTAAATTATCAATTACAATTAAAGCTAATTATTAATTAAACTCCTTACACATACAATCAGTGCTGACCTTAGGTTTTCTTTAGTTTTTAATTAAAAAATTATTCAGTGCCGAAGTACCAGCGAAAAGCGCAATAAACGTTAAGTGCTAGCTTATACGGCGTTTACATTGGCCGAAAATGGCTCATTTTGGTCAAAAATCGAAAATGAGTATCGAATGGCTCATTCTTGCATATAAAATTTCAAGCACAAAATGAGCAATTTTCTCACATTCTGTATGAATGACGTTCGAATGCATTCCACATACGTTCCAAATGCAAAGGAATCCATTGAACATACCCTAAATGAAAGCTCTTTATGGCATTTTGACAGTTTGAAAAAGCTGTTTTTAACATATTTACAAAAAAAGGTAAACAAATGTTTGGTGGTTCAATTTTCTTGAAAACGATTCACTGCTTTTTAGAACTTTTACTTCCCAAAAAGTAATTAATCGAAGTTAAAAATATGTTTTAAGTTTCTAATGTAAGGTTTGAAGGCATATTTAACCTTCATGCAACAAAAATCAAATCAACATGCAAGTTGAAAAATCAGCTGTTGAAATGAGAACAATTGAAATAGAACGAATGTAAACACTTTCAAATGGCTCATTCAAAATGAGCCATTTTCGGCCAATGTAAACGCCATATTACAGTCCTAATAACAAAATATGTAAACATGTCATATTTTAAAGATCCATAACTGAGCTTAGAATTTGACAGAGTACAAGTTCAACCCTTGATTCTCAAAAAATTATTTACGAATAATTTAATAGAAGAAATAATTCCAAGACCACTAATAATGGGTATTTGGCAATACTCGAAGCAACTGTATGGTCAGACAAAAATTCAATTTATTAAAATAATATAAAAAAAACTTTTGTTGTTGAAGTTCACTACTTTTTGAAACCTCCCTACCAACAAATACACTAGTAGTTCAACTTGACTTAAATGTATACTTTAAGAAATTACTTAGTGGCAAAAAGCCACCAAAAAACTTTGAAAAAAAATTAAAATTACCAGCTAACAGCACTAAAAATAGTATGTATTAACGTTTTTGATTGTCAAAACATTGAAAAATTCAAAATGAATAGAAATAATTTTACTATCTTCGAGGTTGTTTGTTAATTATGCACACTTTACATATATTTATTTCCTTGAGAAATTATAATATATATATACACAGAACGTATAGAACATACTATGTATTCTAAATATTCATTCATATATATTTGTATATTTATACGTGAACGTCTTAAAATTCGTTAAGAATGTTTAGAGGAGGAGGAGAACTACGTCATTTGCTTCGTTTCAATTATGTATGCTTCGAAAATGTTTTGCGATATTAAGAGATTAAAATTTTAAAATTAAATTATTAGAATAATAAATTATTTCAGTCAGAATAGAAAACATTAACATTAAGGAGAACAAATCAAAATGAACTGAAAAATACGTTAAAAATATAAAAATGAAATAAAACTGAAAGAGCTACAGCTCTGATATTGTAGGTATGTCGGGTGGTGCTATGCGTCTTATTCATAGCACGACCTTCATTGTTGTTATGTTTGTATAAATTTGTTTATTTTATGTTTTGTTTGTTTTTGCCACAAAAAATTGTTGAAAAGGCCAAACAAAAAATAAAAATTTTGTGCGTTATTTCGTCATCACTTAAATTTAACTTCTAGTATAATTCTCTATGTCTGTAAATATACTCGTAAATTCAACTGGAAAACATAGAAAAATATTGAAACCACTCAATGTGAACAAGTTCCTCTGGACAGCGTTTCCCACACCGCACCCAGAATGTAAGCGAGCACCCGAAACGCGACACAGACCCAAAACCCCAATAACCGTCAACGTTTTTGAAAAGTAACCGACTTTGAGGCTTCCGTAGCACGTTTGCCGCCACAAATAAAATGCGCCAAAAATATAAATTTAACGTTAATGCTTAGCCAAATGTGTGACTGATATTGAAACAATCAAAACAATAAAAATAAAATTTTAAAAAAATAATAACAAATAAAATGTTGTGGTGTGGATGGAGTTACTTTATTAGCGCGATGTGAACGCTGACTTCGCTGACGGTGACTAAATTATTGCGCGATGACGACATACCTACGTGTTTCGCTGAGGTTTGGTTTCAGTTTTTATTCCATTTCTTATTTTTCCCTCTATTAATATGTATTTAGTTTTTGCCGTAACAGAAAACAAAATAATTAACTTTGAATTAATTAGAAAATGTACATAATACGGTTATCGTTTCATCTGAGTTATGCGAAACAACGGCGATCTATAGAATCTAACAAAACTACATGAGAATACTTTAAAGAATGTACAGTATGAACTCGATTAATACAACCTCGATTATTGCAATCAGTTAAATTTTACCTGTATTACTCGTACCTTTGATATTGCAACTTTGAACATTGACTGCCGCGAAGAATGCAACTTTTGCTAATTATTTTCCTCTTTTGCATTCTTAATATTTTATTTGTTATTATTATTATGCTGTTTTGAGCTAGTGCACTTTTACTCTTTTTAACTTGATGTATTTTCAAAACCCCTCTCTACACCTTGACTTTATTATTGGGTATCACTTCATCAGACTAAGCAATAATTGACTTCAGATCTGCATACCTCACCAAGGAGCCTGTAAGATTTGATAACACCGTGTTGGTAAGTCTCTCAGTTTTCGGAAATAATTTCACGGCTCTATCCTTTATATATTTTTTGATGGGATTAATACCATGGTACTTTGAAAAGGCTTTTCAAAACCTGACTTTGTGCAATTTCTAGCTGGCGAATAGTAGTGTTTGAATATTATGAAATCATGAAATTAATTCAGATGTTATTTCTCTACAAGAAATGGATGAGTGGGTCAACGAACAACTTGATATCGATTCAGACTCGGAAATCAAAAATGGAGTGAACGCTGAATGCACTTAACACATGCATACAACGGACTGAGGAAAATCCCTTACCTCTTACAAAAGTTGTAATACTTAAAGATCTAAAACATGTGGGAGTTACGATGAATCTTAATTGTAATAAAAACCAAGCTGAAATAACAAGTATTATCATAAAGTATGATCACAGCAATTATGTTGTTATAAATAAAAAGAAGTAATCATATTATTTTCTAATAAATTTATAGATGTACTAAATAAACTAAACTCGATTATTACAACTACTATTTCGAATTCTATTAGTTGCATTAATCGAGGTCATACTGTATTTACTAATCTTGTATATTTCTCATACTATTCTTACTATATTCTCATATTATTCATACATTCTTTTTGCACACTTACTCTACAACAGGTATTTTCTTCTTCTGGTGCTGTGGACTACTCTTTAGATGATCGACATGATCACAGTTTTCATGATCGCATGCTGAACGCAAAAAGGGTGTTTTGGAACGCGAACGACGACGCGTGATCATATGATGTTCATTCATTATTCCACCGATTTTTCTCACCAATAGTACAAATCTGGAATTATAAATAAGCAAACATTTATATTGTTTGTAAAAAAATTGCATATTTAATTGAATTTTACATGCCTTCTCATAAATACTTAAAACAATTTTATATAATAAGAATAATTATGATAATTTTAAGTGTAATAAACTTATAAAAAAAAATTACTTAGCAATCGACGTCAAAAGCGTTATAAATGCGCTCCAAAGAAATAGCGAAGCTTTCCTTAAAGGTAACGCATATTTCTACATTGCCATATTATCATTGAAAGTAAGTGCTTTGCGCTCGCTATATTCGTAGGGTTCGAAATGACTTTCAAGTCATCACGAAGCGCTTGGCATTTTTAGTAACTAAAGCATTAAAAGTGGACAAAAAAGCAGACTGGCAAAGAGATTGATGCGATAGATTTTACATTATGCGAAGGGAAATATAGACATTTGTGGAAAACAAAATAACACCCAGAAAAATTTATTAATTTTTAAACAAAAGGTATCTAGACATACTAGACTAAATTTCCTTATTCAAAACCGATTTTTATAAAACCGTTCTAAACTTTCAAGATGTTTTTGGGATTCAAATGAACTACCGCATTTGCACCGATTGAAAAGCTGATTAAGCTAATACTGTCAGAAATTCTTTCTTCGTTTTTTAATGCTCTTTGGTTTCTTAACACACTCATACAAACAGTCAATCACAACACACATAAACGAATGTTCATACCAAAATAGTATAGTCTCACTCAAAAATTAATCCACTAAGTGTAATACTAAATAAACAATCTCTTGTGTTCAGGGCCTTAGATCTATTAGTTTATCATTATTACTATTTAGAATGCCCCGAATATATAAATTATTATAACTTATATACCTCACGTCTTTAACTACTTCAAGTAAACTACCTGGTTTTTATAACAAACCTATTATGGTTTATTAAATAAATTGTGCTAATTTTACCAATTCTTCAAAATAAAATTTCTTTCAGACTTTTTACAGACTTTTTGTCTGTAATAAGCTTTCTACACCCCATTCAGGTTAAAGAACTCTCTTAAGAAGTTACGTTTTTTGTCTAGATAAATCTTTGTAATCCACTTAGATTATTATTGGACCTTTTGCGTGTTAAATGCAAAGAAATATGTCTTCATCAGAAGAAGTAATTATATTCACTATAAAAAATTTAAAGCAAGCTCCTTAATCTTGTGATATTCTAGTAAAGTGAACTAGAGAATTCGACGAGAATGAGTGTGGGTAAAAGTAATAAACTGGGAGAATAGCGTTAAATATCTCGGTAACACGCTGGACAAACGATTCACATGGCTTAAACATGTTCAACTGAAAAGAATTAGCTGTGCCAAAATTCTTCATCACATCCAATCGCTATTCAGAAGCTGATATATAACCAAATAATTCGTTCGCTCAAACACTACTATCCGCCAGCTATAAATTACACAAAGTCAGGCTCTGAGAAGACTTTTCAAAGTACCATGGTACATTAGGACGAATGACATCCACAGAGATTTCAAGATTGATCCCATCAAAAAATACATAAAGGATAGAGCCGTGAAATTATTTGCGAAAACTGACAGACTTACCAACACCGCGTTATCAAATTTCAGAATGGTTACAGGCTCCTCGGGGAGGTATACAGATCTGAGGTCAATTATTGCTTAGTCTCATGAAGTGATAAACTAGTTCAGACTACAGAAAAAAGGCGGAAATGTAAAAATCAATTTCTCTCAATGTTAAAAATATATATTCTTAAGACCACAACATGAAACATCTCAGAGTAAAACTAATAATGGAAAACCTCAAATGTATTTATACCAGTAAGTAGTTTCAAACCATTTTAACTTAAGTGTATGCCATAGACTTATACATCTTTAGTAATATATTTTATTTTTTTTTATTTCATCTTATCATTTCCATTAATTTTATAATTCCTAAAGCTATTTCTTTCTTATTATATTATAGTATTAATATTCAATAATTACAGATTTTTCCTAAGGGTTCTCAAAACTGAAAAACAAAAATAGATAATCGCCTTGAGGTATGTTTAGTACATCCGTTAAGAAGCCTATCCATCTCACAGATTAATGCCTTCCAAAACAAGAAACTACAAAGCAATTCAAATCAACAAAATTTGATTGCTAATAAAATTAGCATAAAACTTATTGTAAAGCGTGAAAATGTTTTAAAAACACAAACTATTCCATATTATCTCAGCCTTCACAATTTTCACAATTTTTTGAGCAAACAACACAAGAAACAAAACAAGTAAACATTAAACTATTTATAAATTGTTTAAATATTTTTGAAATATCTTCTCCAAACGCAGACGAATATTGTGAGTTCGCCATGTGGTGCACAAAAAGCGCGCCAAATGAAACCAACCGCGAATGAAAATCGGGAATGGAAAGAGGCATGACCCATTCAGACCCACCAAACAGACACTTCATTTGTGTGTCGCAATGCCTTCAATGATAATGAGATCCGATAACAGGGAGTGGGTTGTTTACATTAGCATCGTCGTGCATTACATGATGAATTAAAATTAAAAACGAAGAAATAAGCAAAATGCTAATGTGTTTGGAAGGGAAAACAAATCAGGGGAGAAGAAGATTTGGTGTAGATTGAAGTTAATTCATGACGAAACATGTTGTCTTGAAGAGATTGCTTTGCGGAAGAGAACAGTTGACTTAGGAATTTACGCCTACTCTTTTAGTGACTTTAACGTAATTCCTAATTTGGAATAGAATTGACAGTAAAAATAATTAGAGTAAATCGGGTCAAGTAATAAAAATTAAAATCAAATAAAATTCTAACAATGCTTAACAATGATGCAAGTGTTAAATTTTAATTAGAATAACATAGAGTAATAGTAGTGGTAGAGAATATACGAGGGTGGTTTGATAAATCAGTGACTTTTTGAATAAAACAAATTTTTTTCGGCAAATAAACATCTTATTTTTCTACATAATCACCTTTTAGCTCGATACATTTAGTCAAGCGTTTTTCTAATTTCCTTATTCCCTCCAAATAATAGGTTTTCTCAAAGCTCTCAAAATACGCGTTTGTTTCGGTAATGACTTCTTCATTCGACTCAAATCTCTTACCGCCCAGCCATTTCTTTAGGTTTGGAAATAGAAAATAGTCGCAAGGGCCTAAATCTGGAGAATATGCTGGATGGTGTAGCAGTTCGTATCCCAATTCGTGGATTTGGGATCGTAATGCTTAATCAGCACACGAAATTTAGTTTTTTCCATTTTCGTAAAAACTCACGAGGTTATCTGCTTTGAACGGCTATCAAACACCAACTGAACGGCGTAGCTTGCTCAAAATTAAAAAGTTGTCCTGGTAGATTACAGCTGACGGCAGCACTGTTGCTTTTGGAGTAACTGCGCGGGAAATTCAAAAAATCACCGACTTATTAAACCGCCCTCGTATATTCATGTCTAAATAATAAATATTCTAACTACATGTATATTACAGCACTCCTAAAGCTATTGTCTTTGTCCAAATAAATGACTTTTATGAATGATTAGTAAGCAAAATCAAACATACTTCCCAAAACTAAATACAGTTTTATATAGTTTATTATTTTAATTAGTCTCCAAAAAAAATAATTTCAATTTAAATAGAAAGGTTAGATTGTAATGAATTACAACAACTTTAGAAGCATTCAAGGCTTCTGTGAACTTTAAAAAAAAATTTTTTTTAATACATTTATTCATATATATCTATTTATATTTTTTTATATATTATTATATATATATATATATATATTTATGTGTAAATTTACTCATGCGTATATATATGCTGTATATATTTATATTTATTTATTTATGTATGGTTAAGTATATTGTAGATTCCTTATTTTTTATTTTTTTTATATTCCTATACAAAATATATACATTACAATTAACTTGAGGACAAGTAGTCTTTTGAAAAGGGACAAAAGAACAAAAGCAAATGCAAAAACTATGAACAAATTTGCAACAACTTTATTGTCTCGTATTTTAAATACTGCAAGATTTCGATGGGATATACAAAAATCGTTTAAATGGAGAGTGCAAAATAATAAACTATACGTTAATGTTTTATAGAACTTTATTTATATGTCGACGGAAGACAGACATATATGTTTATATGTTCATACAAATGCGAAATAATAAATATACCATTGAAGCAATGAATTGAAAATTGCAATTGTGCAAATTATTTATTGATTTTCATTATCTATTTGTTAGAAAGGTGAATCAACCCATAAGGCAAATCTATTTATTAAAAATAGCATCAATTGAATTACCTAAATTATTAAGTGTATGATATTGAAAATTTTTTCGTATACTTTCATGATGAATTTAAAGTTTATTCATATATTAAAAAATAATAAGTGTTAAATTAAAAACAATTCCGACTATTCAACAGAGCAGTTTAAACACAATTTTGACGAATATTGTTGTTGTTATAGCCTAATTATAAGCTCTGTAGAATTAAGAAGCAGCCAAATCTACGACCTGGAGGTACTCATGTTTTCAAAGTAAAAAGTATAACTACTTCCTTTCAATATCCACTGAGAAAACCAGTAATAAATGATAGATTACTAAATGTTTCGAATCAGGTTAACGTCTCGCAGTATCTCATCCATTCAGACGATAAAGTTTAAAGATTTTCTTGTGAAGGACTCAGACTAACACTATTATATAAACGACATTAATTTAAATTCTAAGTTGTTCCTACGTCCCGGAGCCACTATCTTTTGAAGCGATGAAGTGCTATTCACTCTCCCCGGTAGAAATGAAAAGAAAACACCTAACAAACACCTAATTAAGAATTATAACGCAATGAACAGTTTGAAGATTATAATTTACAGTGGTAAATTAATTCTACAAATCATATAACTAAAATTTATAATTAAATTCAAATTTAATTATATTATTTTGATTTGAACTTATCTTTAAGAAGCCAATCTGCAGATTTCTAATTTATGTTGACTTCATATTTATATACCTCATACTCGCCAACCGTAAAATCAAGTTGCACGATTGCTTTGTCGACGGAAGAATAAAAAATCGTGGATATTTTAAAACCTCCACTCAAGTAGTTGATACAAACAAACTAAACGACAGATGGCGTTAAAAGTACTGCCAATTGGAAATAATAATTTTTTTTAAATATCTAATAGAATGTTTTTTAAATTGTGAAATGTGTATACTACTTGAATGATGTACGAGTAGAACATAGATCCGGCCACTTGACCAGTTCGGTAACCGAATAAGATAGTAGCAGTGTCCGACGATAAGTACAAAATAAATATACTTGAAAAGTGTTTTGTTATTACTACTCTCTACTGTTACTCTATTACTGCGCTCATTACTCAAGATCTGGAGAACCACTTTAGGCCCAGTGCACGCTTGCCACAAAAAAACGTGTGTACACACTGTAAACATTTGGAAGACACATCAGATCATATTGAGCAGTGACCACTAGCCAGAGTGATAGGGTGTTTTTTTAGTGCAAGGATACAGTGGAACCCCGTATTGTTGAACTTATTTATTATGAATACCACTAAACCGTCTCATAATAAACTAAAAACTTTGAACGCTGTTAAAACCCTAATATATTATATACACTCCACATAGATATGACACATACAATATTGAAAAGAAATAAAAGGAAAATAATATTAACAATAATTTAGAAGCGGAAGAGTACAGCAAAACAAAATGGTAAATAGAAAGAGAGGGAAATGCTAAAAGAAATACATTTTAATTAAAAATAATACATTTTTGCCGGCAAATTAAGGTAAAAGGGTGGTTAGAAATTAAATAGGAGGGTGGATAGAATGCATTAGTTTAGTTTTATTAATTGAAGGGTTCGTTGTGACTTCTAAGAAATTATTCGATTTATTGTCTTGTCTATGAGTCACAGTTTTTGTGACTTACTGCGACGTACTTTGCTCAGGTAGACAATTTAGTATGCAAAATAGATTGTTATTATAAATTAGATATGTTGCTTCATTAATGTTAATAGATTCAACTCTAATAAAAAATAATAAAAAATAATAATAAATAAAATAAACAAAACTTTAGCATGTGTTCGCAATATGAATTGTGTGAAGTATGCAGAAGAAGCACTAAATTTATAAAAGTTCCATATATATGTACATTATTTTATTCTTAAGATTTTTAACTATAACATAAATTAAAATATTTGAATGAGTATTTAGGAATAAGAATCAGAAAGTGATATCCCCGGGCTTTTAAATCACAAATATCGTATATTTAATAGATAATAAATATATATTAGTAAAGATGTAAACACTCAATTATTCGACTTTACGTTCTATGTAACTACTAAATGAACGTTAATGGCTTTATCTTTAATATAATAGAGACAATTGTATGCCATTATATAGCTATTCATTTCTGAAGCTATAACAGTGTCTAAATGTTTTTATAAATCTCCAGAAGAATACAAAAAAATTGTTCAACAGAAAGTAATCGTTAAGTTTTTGCGATAAATGATTTAAATCTTGCAAGCTTTATAAAAGAACCTCAAACACTTATCGGAGTGACTCAAGCCAGATGACTACACATTCCATAGCAACTAACAAAATAAACTGATTAGTCTACATGATATATATACAGCCATACATAATACATTATAAATTTTAAATTTATGTGATATTTGATTATTGAAAGCAAATCGGCAATAAATTTTATATCAGTTTTTAAAAATATCTATATTGGCCATCTATTGGAAGTATATGCATTGTGTGGGTCGACTACTCACAGCATCTACCTTAATTTAGTGTTATGCGACTTTTCTCTTTTTAGAATAAAAAAAGAGAAAAAAAAAGGCATTTGGAGTAAGTAGAACTCACTATAAAAACAAAAAGCGAATGTCACACCTATAGGTCCACATAAAGAAGATCTAATAAACTCGTACTTCTTGAAAGAAAATTCATACGTACAACTTTTTAGTTTTTAAGAAAAAATAAATGGACGCACATAATTGAATACAAAAATAAAATCTATATGTCTATAAGTGAATACATTATGTTAGATAAGGAGAGATTAGAGTAGCGGTTTTACAAACCAAAACCCAATTGAGCACAAATAATAGCCCATTGTTATATCATGGACAAGAGGAAACTCTTGTTTATACATCAGACCAATAAAACCACCAAAATAGGTATAAGGACCAAAACATCAAAAAGATACATATTATGCTATCATTGTCTCCAAAATTAGTCTATATAAATAAAGGTTTTTGATAAAGCTAGTAATATATCATGTACTCACAATCAGAGCCATCATTCTGTTTAATGAAAATCTTATAACTTTATTAGAGACGTTCCTGACAATTGTAAAGCTTGAGCAGATAAATTGAACACATATTCACATATTGAATTGACATATTCCTCTATCTTCATTTCAAAGCATCTACAGGTGTCATTTATATATTTAATATATAGTAGTTCCAAAAAGTATGTGAAGTTGAAAATCCTAGAACTTATTTCATTTCAGATCTATTTGAACTAAGTAATATGTCAACATTTTTGTTGTTGACTCAAAAGAGCTATTAGGATTATCTTAGATTTTTAGCATGAACGTGTGCCTTCGAAAGTGATTTATATTTAATGTGAAAAATATTTAAGCCATCGATATTTATGTTTTATTATTTATGTTAAGCTGCTAAATATATATATACAATCGAAGAAGATTTAGACTAACAGCCCTTCGCACAGATGCAATATTCTATTCGAGATCACAGTTACACTTTAATAATATTATCAACAGGACTCCGTTTAATAACTCCTGGGAAGTACAACGCCTACCAAGTACAGCAAGAACTATCCTGGCTCACCTGAGATCGATATATAGGCCTATGTTAAAGAGCGACTTATCACACAAAAATGCAACAATTTTTAATATATGCCAACTGGATGTGCCTCTGGTACCTCCATGATGTCACTCTTCTGTTTTCGTGTCCCATTGCATACATTAATCAATTCTTCCGCCTTGATCCTGGTTAACTTGAATTTAAATCCCACCCATACTCGAAACTCTTACTCCCAAAGAACTTTCCCTTTTAACACTGCCATTACCTATCCCCATTCCAACCCATGTGTGTGCCTTTGCAATTCCTTTCATTGACCACATATCAATAGATCGGGTTGTAACAACTATATGCAAAAGAATTAGGATTAAATAAATTAAATTAAAAATTTTAGTACTCATTTATTATTTACTTTATAAAATATTGTATATTTTTCAACATTTGCTTTCAAATTAAATTTGTAGAGACTACAAAAATATTCCCGTGATTAATATCAAAGAAGGGTTCAAGAGCAGAACTATTGGATTTTTAAGGAAGTTGACCCAACATATTCCCGCCTATTACTTACTATATAAAGGTTACATACCAGAAAGTAACTGGCCAAAAAGTTTAAATCTGGATCATAACTTCCATTAATTTAATATGTATATATTCAATATTTATATAATTTTAATATATAAATAAATATATTAATTTAAAAATAAGACAAAAATCCACGTCATATTAATTTTAATTAATCTTTGCCCAATAATTTAGAAAAAAAAAGTGCAATCGGCGAAGTAAAACAATTCGCAGCTAAAAATACAAAATAGAAAAAATTTAGAAAAAGGAACAACGGATCGTTGCACTCATTGCCCCTCAACATAGAAAATTAGCGAATTGAGGCTAACGTATAAAATTTTAGGTAGCGAATTTATTTTATTTTTAGCCACAGCAAGGAAAAAACTAAAATCAAAAAGGAAATTTTTATTAAAACATTTGTTTTTGTAATTCTATTTTAACCTTACCAGCTGACGAACATGTATTTTGCATAAAAATGCGACTTCGAAATCCACCAACAACAACAAGAAGAAAAAGCCGAAAAATATTTTAGATAAACACAACAACTCAAGAAGCTATTAAAATATATTTCTCCACTACGAAGCGAAAGTAAACAAACATAAAACACATTTCACACCAGCAGCAAAAATCCAAAAAAAAAAAAAAAATTAATAAATAATAAAAACAAAACGTAATTAATTTGTTTGCTTGCTTTAAAGCAACTTTCGTTAGCCGAAAATTTAGTTAGGAATTTTTTCTACAGCAACATCGCATAAACACAAACACAACCAAACACGAGCGCAACGAAAGAAAGTAATAAGAAAAGAGGAAAAAATGAGTTATGCGGCCATGGCAAACTGCCCATTTAAGGTACTTAGCATTTTTCACACTTTTGGTAATTAAAAATTATTGAAAGTACGTAATTAAATTTTGTAAATTAATAATCATACCCTTTTTATATATTTTGTTCGAATTTTTTTGTTTCTGTATAAGTATATGTGAACTTGATTTTTACACTTTAAACTTTTCAATTTATAACCGCACTACGTTGTCAAATTGTTAGTGCTTTTTTTTCTTTTTTTTTTTTTGTATATCACGTATGAAGCGTCACGAATATATTAAGTGAAGCGCTTTACCAAACCGCCTTGTACGACTTCAAAAACACAAATAAACTATTCCGAACAGAGCGAACATGAGTAACATAAATTCTATGTTTTCGTTGACATCCACAATGAGCGAAATGGCGCAATGAAAACAAAGAGCACAAGAGCAAAATACACAATTTCTACTCTTTTTGAAATGTAACTAAATAAACGACTGAATAATAGATTCTTTGGACACTTGTTTAAATGTTATTTTCAAAATAAAGTACTTATTTATATATATATTTTTTACAAGTTTTATTTGGCAGATTTTAAAAACAGCGCAACGTTTACTACCAAAAAATATTCTGTGATTAACTATCGAACTTTGAACACGACGCCAGCTTGAGAAATGCCAAAATTCAACGAAATAAATAATTTGAATGCATGTTTCTATGTTTTTTATTTTGTGTGTAGAGATTCACCAAGGATGCCATATTGTAACATTTTGTAAAAATGAATACATGGATTGTGTTGTGTATATTTAGTTATTTGATTTTCATATGTTTAATGTGTACTATATTCTATATATACTAATATTGCATTGCGATTTAATCAAATGGTTTGTTTACTCTGATATATAAGCATATGTATAGAAAATTTTTCCACAACCAAAACTCAATTAGCAAACTAAGCATATAAGAATGCTTTATAAAAATTGTAAAGAGACCTCATTTGATATCCCAACATATTATACTTTCTTTAAACATTTTCCCTCAAATCATTTATTACTGCGCAATAAACGACGCATGCTGTAGTAATAATTTCAATTTTAGAAAACAATGGATAAATTATTTAAATGAATTTGTTAGGAAGTCATGAAAAAACAGCTAAACCAGCTATTTACAGCTGTTTTAGCCAGCTATATAACCGAATATTATGTCACATAACTTTGTAGAAAGTTATGTGAAATTAACTAAAGTTATAAATTCATTTAGTTTTTTAAGGTAATACTATGTTCAAATACACCTAAATTTCGTAAGTCTTAATATCGTCTTCGTTTTAGCCAAATTAACTGGTTTTTTCCATACAAAATTCAGTTTTGAGGTTAAAACAAAATTTAGGAAAATGACCTTAATTTCGTTGAAACGAAGACTGAAATTAAGGGCAATCAAATCCAACTACACTATATATAAATTTTAAACAAAACATAAGTGTCAATAACAAAAAAATGACATATATGAAATCCACTAAAACTAATAAAACTACTCAATCCTTTATAGTTATAATAATCAACTTTTAAAATTTCCCAGATACAAATGGTGTTGGGATCATGTAATTTTTAACATTCGATTTGTAAACAACAAATGATTTTCTTAAATTTGGGCAATAGGAACACTTTTCAAACTAACTTAGTTTTATTTTAACGAAATTACCAAATAGCGTTTAGTTAAATGAAGCTGTTTACAAAATTCTCTTTTTTTTTTGTTTGCATTATTTATTTTATATATACCTTATTTTAATAACACATGAAAAATCATTTAACGGGTAATATAAATAAATTTTCTACACTGAATGCTGTAAGTCTACAAGGTTTTGTTTTGTATTTTGTTGGTATGATATAACACACATTCAGAGTTGTATTCATTTAATCTGACACTGTAGTCGAAAACATAGAAATATTTCTATATTTTTGATTTGAATGTTTCCAGTTGTAGGGTCATAATTCGACAACTACTTATATGCTTGACTTATAAGTGGATCATTATTGTTGATTAATGATTAAAATAACGTAAACATCCATAAAAAATTAAATGTAATTTATAAAAATAATTTAATAATCCTTTTTGCTCTCTTCTTAAGAGTTTTGAAACCTATTTTGCTGCAAAGCGCCAAATTAATGTTTGCATACATTTTCCTCCAATAAATTAATCTTATTATTTCTTAATTAATGCCGTTTTCGATTGGTAAAAATGGGGCAATTTTTTTAATAAAAAGGCTCTTTTAATGCACTTTTAGTGCAGTTATAGTTTCATTTGGTAAATCTGTGGCAAAATGTATAACACTTAAGATTAGTTTAAAACACTAGTTATAGATTGATTTCAGATTTAACAATCGAAAACACTATAAATAAATTTAGAACAATTTTAAGCATTATACTTGTTTTGGGTGCCAGTTTTGGTATACCCAAATAAAAGGAAAAAATATATAAAAAGTATGCTGATCTCTTAGTGCAGCGGAACACTGCGACAAAGTAAACTTTGTCTGGTAAAAATCAAATGAAATAATAATATTTAACCATTTTTGAACTTTAGTTTAAGATCGTCTCTAATAGAAGTCTCGAAGCTGACTAAGGCTTTCTAGAAAGTAAGCCCCCAATATTTATAGTCCACGTAGCTCTAGATAATGGCGAGTCAGATGTAAAGCAACCTCTTTTGTCTTTCTTAAAGCTACGGGAAGTCATCTAAGTGCATTTATTAGATTAATATGATGATACTCTATGAGGATCCTAAGAACATATTTTTCATATAGAATGTGTGCTATATAATTTTAAAATTTTTATATAAAACTACCTTGACAAGCTATAATAGTTTTGCTTCTAAAGAAAAATGCCCTTTTATGAAAATATTGCAAATTGATCGCTATGAAGTGGCTAATAGGATTACTATTATTTATACACTACAGTCGAAATATTAATGCATATAATATATTTTTTTTTGAAACTTATTAAAAAAATTATTTATTATTTAATATAAACCAACTACCCCGTTTAAAAATATGTAAAAGTTTTGATATTAAAACAATAATTGATATACGTATTTAATCAAACCATCTATAGACCTTTTTTGACCTTAGACAACTTAAAATCAACCGCTTATTATCTTATATAAAAAAAATTTAGTTCTGTTATTTAATATCTCTTAAAAATTCAATTAATAATGATTTGCAAAAATCTATAAGTTTAATTGTGAAACCAAAATAATCTGAAGTAATGTATTTCGTATTGAGCTGTACGTGTATGTATTGCGGATTGATCTTAAGTCGTATATAACACTATCTTTTTAATGCTAATGTTGGATTCACTTTAACTCTTGGGTTAGCCGTTCTTTGGAACAAATGTGTTGATTTGGTTTCAGTAGCATTCGCTTTTCATCAGTGAATTGCTTTCCATTACGACTATGTGTCACTCAACACTCCAATCTTAAATTAAAGATATGCAATCACAATGGTACGACATTCGTCACGCCAATAACCAATCAATTCTTTATGTTACGTTCCAAGAATGAGCCACTCGTCGACCAAGTACCGTTCAACACTCCCAAAAGGGACAACATACATAGATTCATTTGGGCTACAACAGCAACAACATATATAACATGGGTTGTATTGCCAGCCTTAGGCACCAAACCTCAGTTTTTTGCTTCACATAGAATGCTAAGCCTATTTTCTAATTTGCTTAATTAAAAATTCATATAAAATTATTAGAAAAAAAAATATATAAACAATTTTTACTGAACATTTAATTTGACAGTGATTTAATAAATCAGAGATGGAAATGCATTTAATATAATAATTAAGCAACAAATTTATTAAATTTAATATCGACAGATCTAACAAATGAAAATCATTTAAGAGAAAATCCTACACACATAAGGTAAGCACCGATTTTGAGGTAAATAGAATATTTAGAACTAAACATTTAAATCTTAAAAGTAGACATTTGCTAGTAGCGTCAAATATCGAAAGATAATCGTATAAGTACAGAATTTAGAAATCATTAACATTTGCATGGAACTCTTGCAGCTCCAACTTGTAGAAGTCTTGCAGCTACTCCCACTCTAGACGTGCTAATAACGACTAGCAGCTTTTTACTTATGCAGAGCTGCGGTTTCCATTTTGGGCTCTGGTTTTTGAGCTAATCCTGTGATCAGTTTTTTGATTTCTGCAATTGCACGTCCGGGATTCAAACCCTTTGGACAAGTACGTGTACAATTCATGATGGTGTGACATCTGAATACGCTGAAGGGATCCTTCAATTTGTCCAAACGTTCTTGTGCAGATTCATCACGTGAGTCAATAATCCAACGATATGCTTGCATAAGCACAGCTGGACCTAAATATTTATCAGGATTCCACCAGTAGGAGGGACATGAAGTAGAGCAACAAGCACACAAAATGCACTCATATAAACCATCCAATTTAGAACGATCTTCAACAGATTGCAAATACTGTGCCTTACCCTTCTTCTCCACAGCCACATTTCTATAAATAATATTTATGAATAAAAACTTTTGTGAAGATAAATATGACACTTACTTGCGTTGTAGCCAAGGTTGTATGGAACGGTACTGATCGTAGAAGTTATTCATGTCAGGCACCAAATCACGTACCACATACATATGTGGTAGAGGATAAATCTTCAGGGGTTTAGACGTATTGGTGTCGATTTTGCTGCAATTGAATTTTTCAAAATTTTAATGCTTTTCTTTACTACTTTGTTTATAATTAATTTACTAATTTATTTATTATTATTTTTATCAGTTAAAAAAATTTTTTGTTATCGCAAATATTTTTGCTCAACCATATAATACCAATAAGTCTTGAAAAGTACCAATAAATGATATAAAGCGGTAGCAACTTGTATTATGTTTCCGCGGATATTTACCTGATGCACGCCAATGTATTGGTGCCAGCAATGTTCATTGCACAGGAGCCACAAATGCCTTCCCTACATGAACGCCTAAAAGTCAACGTGGGATCCACTTCATTTTTGATCTTAATCAAGGCGTCCAGCACCATAGGACCACATTCTCTCAAGTTCACTTCATAAGTTTGCATGTGAGGTTTGTCACCAGGTGTGTCTGGATTCCAACGGTAGATTTGGAAGGTTTTGATTTGTGGCGCCTTCGCTTCCTTCGGTTGAGCCTGCTGTTCCAGATGACTACCAGACGTTAATGAACGTAACTAAAAATAATGCAGTGTACATTAATATTTAAATAATATTTACATTCATAAATTAAAGTCTTTTGGGATATTTTTATATACTACGCAAAACAAAAACTAATTAATTTATTTGCTTTTACGTAATCAACATTTCATGTGGCAAATGGAATTTTTTCAATTTAATTGAAACATCTCAAAATATAAATTATTGCTAAACAAAAATCATTATGTAACAGCATCAAATTATTTAATTATATTTTCTCGCGTGATGTGGTAATTCTCGTTTCAGGAGGCGTGGTTGTTACCTGGTGTCTTGCCGCCAGCGCACCCGTCCGGTTGAGCAAAATTCTAGCTTCCTGCACTAAAGCCATTTAATAAAATTTGATTTTCGTATGTCACAATTTAAAAAGGAAATTGAAACGTCACTGCGTTTGCAATTTAATTTGCAAAAAAATCGTTATTTAGAATAATTTTTCTGTTAGCAAAAACACTTGCAGCTGTTGGCCGCGGTAGTCAATTAACAAAACAGGGTTGCTAAATTTGTAGCTGTCAACACACAAAAATCAATAAAAACAACAGAACTATGAGTGAAATGAGAGGCGAAAACAATAAGGAATTGGCAGCACTAAATTTAAGCTTGAAAAGCGGGAAAATGTTTTAGTTTTAAAAATTTTTAAAAATAAATAGAAAAAGTTTCTATAATTTAAAGTGTTAATTGATTGATTTAGTGCCATTTCATATAAAAGTTATGTCAGTCTATTCTTTAACTCTCCAAACTGAAGTATATGCAAAATTTTGCTTACATTTTGATTTTGATATTTCTCAACAGTTAAAAGTAGGTTATTCTATAAAATAAATTACTCTTCTGTCAAACTGATAGAACTTTTTTTATAATTTCACTTAATAATTTATTACATAAAAAAATTATTATTATAATTGATATATTAAATTATTCATACTCATTTTATATATCTATTACATATACAATTAATGACAACAAAGATTTTATTAAATATTTACTTCCTTAGTGCCTTTGTTTACAGCTTAACTGTTATTTATTTACATTTTATATACAAAACATATGACAAATATTTCAAATTTTTGGGACTTCTCTTTTAGAAAATTTATTTTTAAAGTTGCGTTTGACATTTGACATTGACATTATTCATAATAAGCTCATTGCGGCCATTAATGAGCTAAACCGCCTAAATGAGACAGTGTGAGTGTACTATAAGATTAATTACACAAACTAAGCTAATATAAAAATTAATTTCATATTATTTTTGTGTTAGTTTTAGAATCAGAAAAAGACAAAGAAGCAATTGGGGTTTTTAAAAACTTGTCCTCATGAACTTTATAGAAAAAAATAAAGAATTTTGCAACGACAGTTACATTTAAATTTTATGTAATAAGAAAAGTAAGTTTTCGATTGGTAAATTTGGATTTAATCTAGATTTATTCTAGATCTGTCAAATTTTGTTACCCAATCGAACATTTTTATGGTAGTCTAATATGTTTGTAGTTGTGTTAGTAAATAAACTAATTGAAGTATAATACTCACACTAATTTTTTTTTGTGTCGTTGTACACAACATTCACGGCAAAATCTTCAATTTTACTTTTTTACGGTTTTGCAAATCGTATAAAGTTAAAAAAATAAGTCTTCATCTGAAGATTCGTAGCCTGATGGCATTAATTTTTTCAAAATGACAGCTAAATATATAAACAAATTGGATAGATGCGGACACAAATCACCCTTTTTTATCTGTCAAATCATATAAAACAACTGTTAAGTTCAGAGTAATATTGCTCCTCTAGCAAAATATCTATGGCGTTTTCCATTGATAAATGTGGGTTAATTTTTTTAATCGACATAATAGGCATTTGAGGAAAAGCATTTTACAAGAAAGTATAAACTGCGATAAGAAATGAGTTATTTTTTCACGGTCTCGTCAAATTTAAATTTAATGTTAAATATTGCTCAATAAACAATATTGTTCAGTAATAGATGCTATAATTTGCGCTCTATTAGGAGTAAAGATGTGCACTTTTGTGTGGATATGTAAGTATTTTCACAAAAAATTAATTACATTCAAATTTAAGTAAGAAAAAAGAAACAAAAAATGAAGCTGAAGGTAAATAAGTGATAATTATGATATAGCTCTATATAACATGCATTTTGATAACGATCAATACGAGTGTAAAATAACCGAGATTATTCGGCATTTGGCTGTCACTATAACACACCGTTTAGTTGCACCTTTGTAGTGCAAAATAAAGCTGGCGGATTATCGATATAGGTAAGAAATCTAATACAATTGTGAAATTAATTGTTAGTCTAAAATTCTTAGGCAAAGGTGAATCACACAAGTGGCAACAATAAAAAAAGTAAGCGCAGTGCTTTTTAAAGAATTGTGTAAAATTAGAAAATATAACACGAAAAGGTAAGAAATAATTACATAAAATACTTTTAGTTTTAATATAATAATAAATGGAAAATGCTTAATTTATATTAATACGGAAAATCAGTCATCACCGCCATTTTGAAGCCAACGTGTTGGTACATTTTTCATACAATTTTAATGCATATAATCATATAGATCTTAGTATACTTATAACAATAAATATTACTTTATATAGAATTAATTATATATTGAATATAAAATTTCTTTGAACTAAAAAAGTTATATTTCAGAATATTTGTTTCGCAAAAGTTTTCGTCTTTTACGGCCATATTTAGAAAACAGGGTTGTTAAGACGCTATTAAACGAAAGTTATCGGAAAGAAACGAAGGTAAAATTTTTATTTGTGAAGTGAATAGCATAATTATTCTTGAGTTTTAAGAAAACCGTAAAAGTGCATTCATTAATATTAAAAGCCGAGTAATTACTAATCCCAGGTAATAATCCACAAAGTTACGCTATATTTATTGTGTTCTATATAATATAAATCATAAAACTATGTGTAAAATATCGTGTTCATAAGTAATATATAAAAGACCGTTTTGAGTTTTTAGAACTAAAAACAGGCGTAATAGACTTAATTTTATTAAAATATGGGGTATTGTATTAGTTTTAATTCCATCCGTTGCGACAGCCCTTTTAATACTGAGACTTCAATTTGTGCGTATGTAAACTGCCGATGCCGTGACAAGTGAACGCTGCTTCAAGTTTTCGTCTTCAAGAATATTTGGGTTAGGATATCCCTAATAGGTATCACTAATATTCCACTATAATATTAAAGTTGCGATTAGAATTTAATATATCTTCTCCTTCTTATTTGGCACAACAGTTCAGTGTGAATTTAATATATATATATGATTTTTGGTATTATCCGTCCTATTCTATTGTGTTATTGTCATGACATTGGAAACTTTATATATGTTAGCAGATAAGAATAAAAGCAATAATTGTTTTAGTGCTGAAAAATGATAATGGCAATGAGAAAAAAAAAATGTTAATGTGAAAATGGTCATAAAGAAAGAAGATCCTTTTAACGACGAGATCCCTTTAAGACGACTTACATTTTAAACTAGTGAATCCAGAATTGTAATTTATCAATCTCTGTTGAATATAACAATAAACCACTATAACCTGAATTCACAATTACTCAGTATATCATTGAAAGATTTGCTTTAGGATAAAATTAGAACATACCGACATATATGAATATACATGGGTTGAAGACCAATGAATAAACGAAACGTCAATGTTGAACTTATAGACAACATAACATTTATTGACTTAATATTGACTTACGACGACTCTTTATTCATTACAGATTAAATGCTGTCATATATATGATGGTCATGACACTATCTTTTTTGGTATTAATATTATGCGCCTGGTTCACTTAGGAACCCATGTTCAGTAAATCAGTCATCTACTTACTACCGACAACACTTCAGTCATAAGAAATTACTCATTCACATCGTGTGTATAATATAATATATTTTGTAATCAACCTTACGAAATCGTCGGTTATTTTTTCTCTAATCATTTATTGATAATAAATATTTTTCATGTCTGGACGTCAATTGAAACCACATTTAATATTTGCATTCGAACGCCGAATACTTTTTACCTAACTAATAGCTAATTGACTATTGAAATTAATTATACCTATATAAAAATAAATATTTTATATTATGTAAAATAATTGTTTGGTTCCAAATTCATTTCGTCTTTACTCATTAATCGCAGTAACAACTTTTGTTTACATTCGAACGCCGAATTCTTTTTGCCCGGTTTCAGAATGTCTCTCTAGGAGCCTGTTGCGTGCACGCCTTTTGCAATCTGGTACATCAAGTCCGGTTAGTGCTTCATCAAGTTGACCACTCCACAAAAAACACGATCTACCTCTACGCCTTCTTCCTCCAATCACTGCTTCAAATGACTTTTTTCGCTGAACCATCTTTATCCATTCTCTAAGAAATTTTCTCTCGAATACTCCCAGTGCCGCTTCATCATTTTGCAGTAACGTCCATACTTCTGTGCCATACAGAAGCACAGGAAGGATGAGCGAACTATAGAGCGTGAGTTTTGTTTGACGTGCTAGAGCATTAACATCCCAATTGCCAACTGAATCCATAGTAGCATTTATTAGTGATTCTTCTTCTGATCTCCAGGCTGACATCGTTGTTGTTCGTCACGGTAGTGCCAAGGTAGTGAAACCCTTGACAGATTCAAATGTATAGTCGTCAGTTATTAGCTCGGCGTTCCTACGACGCACAGCGATAAGTAGACGATGTATACTTCGTTTCGTCTTCGTACTTTTTGGCTAGCCTAATATCAATAATGTACCTTATTGACTATTGAAATTAGTAATATTTAAAAATAAATATATATTTCTATTACTTTTATAAATAAAAACAAACAGTAACCACAATTTATGTTTGCATTCAATCCAGCTTCCTTTCCGCAATTTCCTTTCCATTCCCTCGACATATTGGCAATTACAACTCGTTCATAATTTCCTGCTGTTCTTATTTGTTTAAAATTATTTAAAATATTTTTAATTGCACAAAATAGTAAAAACAGTTGCTGTGTAATTTTTCCCAAACGATTTTCCTTTTTGTATTTTTCCCTTCACAATTTTTTTAAAATTATTTTTTATTGTTTTGAATAAATAAAAGCTCTGCCAAACAAAGGAGAATGACACGCCCCATGGTTTCTGCGTTATTCCTCTGGGGACTGAAATCATTTGCATTGCATTATAAAGAACTTGGCTCCGGCATAATATTTAATACTTCCGGAAATGGTTTCCCAACGGCAGCAGCGAAACTATGACTGACGCCGCCATTGAAGGAAGTTGACAAAAGGAGTTACGCAGCAAGACTTCAATTGAAACCATGAAATGAAATCCTTCAAGGAGCAAAATGGCACTTGTTGAAAGTAAGCGCTAAGATGCATTGCTTGAGTTGGAAACAATTTCAATTTGAAATTGAGAATTGCAAACCAAAACTGCATTCTTCCATTTCTATTTCCGAATTTCAATGCACTTCAATTTAACAAGGATTAGAATCCTAAAAGCTAAATTCTATCTTATTAACAATCTGATGGAAGGTAATATTCTAATCTGTTTTTAGAATACGATGGAAATCTGTTACTTTTAAGATGAACTTAAAGCTTTCAAATAAGTGAATTTATATACTCAGTTGTAATCCAAATACTACTATAAAAATTTTTTTTAAAAGTTTTTTAAATAGAAGTGCATAGATCCGTTGAAATCTATGCTAGAGAACATTAACAAGACGATTCTCATTGTTATATTATCTTTTTATTTATTTATTATTCATTTAAATGGTTACTGAGTCCTTTATGTGCTGTCTTCTTTGTATAAAAAGATGAGAAGGCTCAACGATACATAGGCATCTATATGCAATCTATCCACTTTCCATTAAAAGAAAGTACAATTGAGAATAGTAGAGTAGTAGTAGAGATATCAGTCATATGGTTTACTTACAGATCATTGCAGATTCGGTAACCACGCTGGAAGATTGAATCTCCCTTTCAATCATACCTGTCGCGGCTGTGGGGGGAAGACGATAAAAGTACCTCTAAACTACTCTGTTTTTGCTCAGCATATGCACGGCAACGGCGCAACACTTTTTGAGCTATTGTTTTTTGAATATTGTTCAATTACAAGGCCTCTCACTCTTACAGCATTCCTAGTTTCGCCAAAGGTTTTTCGTGGTTTTAAACCCTGAGTTTCCTTTATATATGGTAACACAATGTTCTAATAGGCCTAAGTGAATCCTCTAGGGATTGCCTAACTAACCTAACCTAACCTACAAAAATTATAGTATTTTACCTAAAATCGCAATTGACAATAACAAATCTATTGTGTGTCAACATTTTCATTGTTATATATTTAAATATTTAAATGAAAATAAGATATCTAATCTGGTACAAATAAATCTAGTTACTCTAAATTGTTCAGCTTCAGAAATGTTATAGCCGGTATAGTTGGCAAAGATTAAGTAATACTTGTGGCTATTCCTTGACAGAAAAAATTTAAAGATGGTACAATATCTGACAAACTTGGAAAACAGTTTTCAAAAAATCTTGAAACAGTGTTTTAATTAGAGCATCTTTATAGAATACTCTCCTTGCAGAAATCATGTATATATAATCCATTTGTAAAAAGAAAAAAAAAGCTTTCTAATTTTGGAAAACAATTAGAACTCGCATTAAGTTAATAAGAGCATAATTATAACTTCAATATGTTTTTATAAACTATTCTAAACTGTCTGGATTCATTTGAGTCAGGTAACGATTCTAGTTCCATAGTCTGACCAACAAAAGCCACCGATTTTGTATATCAGATACTACACACATTATCAATATCATACATCCCTGTCTGGATTCAATCAGATCATGAAACGATTCCAATACCATAGTCTGACTAACAAAGGTAGAGATTTTGCATATCAGATACTATACACATTATCAATATCATTTATCTGTCTCTGGATTTAATTGGGTGTATCAAAATTAAGGTGGCGGTATACTTGGTTATTGTATTGTAACTTCTAATCATTATATTATAAATCATTTCTCTCATTTTTTACAGATTTTAAAAGAAAGCATGAAAATGATTAAAGAAACCGTAAAAGAAGTCCGCACTGATGCAATAGATTCTAATGCCGATCGCACCATACCTTGTGAACTTACAGATTCTGTTGGAAAGCATGTTTTGGGTAAGTAAGTATGGGTTGTTGGCATTCCAGTAGAAGACATTTGCCCTATAAGTATTGTATTCGATCAAAGTTTTGAATATAAATCTGAAGTCAGTGATAATGTAGAGATTAGAGTAAATAATGAATATTTTGCAGTCACCCCAAAAACAGGTGTTCGTCCTCTAAGTGATACGTCGCAATTTTCACGGAATTCAAGTGTTGACAGCTTTTATGATTGTTTTGAAATAGGTGAAGTTAGAGTTTCGAATGAAGTTTCAAACAATCATATAGCATACAGAGAATATAAAGAGGCTGGAGAGTTTTGGAGGTTAGTTAACATTATAGTTAGCAAACATTATATATAATTTTAATAATACATATATCGTTTCTAATGTTAAAATATATTTGTGTGCTATAGAAAAACTCCGAAAACTGATTACACTTATTCTCCATTGTCACCACATCGCAGAGCTTTAGGCAATGGATATATTGGTATGCCGAATTTATCACGTCGTGGCTTACGTGAGGATAATGTGGTTATAATAAACCAACCTAAAAATTATGTTAAACCTGGCCGTTGGTTCAATCCTGGTTTCTTAAAATTCTTCTTCGGCCTTTTGTTTATGGCTTTCATTGGTTTTTTTGCTGGTAATTAATTAAGCATTTTATTTTTAATTTTTATTTTTTACAAAATGAATATAATTAATTTTTTTTTATTTTATGTAACTGCACAGTAATGTTAGTATATTTCGATACATCTGGATTAAAAGGATATATACTAAAAATATTTGAAGATTTTATCAAAGGGGAGAACCCACAAATATACTAATAAATGTTTGCAACATTTCATAAATAAAAACAAGTTTATTTTTTTTTTAATTAATAAATTTGTTAATTTAATTATGTAGTTCGCAAAAAATTTTTTAATTTTTTTAACTTCAAATAATTATAATTTTTTTATTAAAATTATAAATAAAGAATAAAATAAAAATATGTTTATAAACTTTATATATAAAAATATAATGAATAGCAACTCACAAATTTGCCAAAATAATATGTCGAAGAGGCAAATAAAAATCTGTTAATAACATTCAAATCAGAGTGTCTGCCTTTAACCTATCGCCCACCTTCTCTGAGTGCTATGGAAACTACAGAACCAAACAGGAAATTGAATGTGAAAAATCACTTTAAAAGAACAGTTAAACTAAATCGCAAATTATGCGTTATAGTATAAGCGTCTAATATCAGCAGAAATTATTGAGTAAACGTGGAATTTATTCTGCACCATGGACCTATAGGTAGAATGAATGTAGTGCAATAGACTTTAGTGATTATCCATTTTCAATCTCTGATAAGAGATGAGAGTGTGTTTTGTAGATGGGAAATCTATTTTGTTTCAATGACCTTTAGGTGAAATCAATTTGATAGCATAATTAATAGATGAAGTGTCAGTTCGATGATTGTATGTTGTCAAGTACTTAAAGACTTGGTGAAAATATTTGTACCGTTTTAGGTTTGTTAATAATTATCCAACATAGGTTCTGTAATTCCATCGGTTATAAAACGCCATTGTGACTCATTAGTAGCGCGTCGGTTTCAGTTAGAACACATGAGTGAAAGAACAACTCTGATGCATTGGATGTTAGGACCCTGCAGTGTAGCTGTTTTGATTATTAAGGTTGTCTCAATGAAGGGAATGTCGTAGTGACTTTGGTTAAAACTCTGTATTACATAGCTAGAATGCCAGTATTTGTTTACCCTTATTTGATGTAGACTTAAGTTAGTTAGATTTCGTTCCTCAATAATTATAAAATTATGTAAAAATATATTACTTCAATCAGCATCGGTACAATCATTTTGTAGAAGTCACTGGTTGTAAAACTACGCAGAAACTTTATTAAGTTCTCTGTATCTGATGGATTTGATACAGTTATAAGTTAATAAAATGATGTAATACCCCGATAAACGGCCCATTGTAATAAGAACTGCCGGTATCAATTGAAGTTGAGTGTTGGAGGAACGGAACTTTCCTTTTTAAGTAAGTTCTGCCCATCTAAATTTCTTCTTTGCTTTAAGTAACAGTACCTTGTTAAGAAAATGCAACTTTTCATCGAGTGAAAGCATTAATACCAATACTTTTCCTGAGTAGTTTTAAATATTACCTGCTGCCTCCACGACACTCCTGTATGAATTCGATCTAATATTCAGGACATTTGAAATTGTGTTCACTTCGATCCCGAGGTACTAGATATAAACTTTGGATCGTATGTTGCAAGTGAAAATTTCAATTATACTCCAAAACAGTATAGTCTACAAACTATAGTGACTAATAGAGTTTAAGCGTCTTTTGCGTCAGGCATGCTTTACCTCGAGAATTGTTTAACCATTACAACGAAAGAAGAAACAAAAGGAGATAAAAAAAGGAGTCAAGAGAGAGTGACAGAGAGAGAGAGAGAGAGAGAGAGAAGAAAAAAGGAGAAACGATATTAGAAAAAAAGAGAAGAAAAAATTGAGAGACAAGTGTAAAAAAGGTAAGAAAGAATAGAGACTAGAAACTAGAGAAAGATTAGGAGGAGCGAACTAAACCGATTTATTTAGTATACAATATGTTTTATAATTGATTTTTAAATAAATTTACTAAAACTACAGAAAAACTGACGAAAATTTCGATAAAGTACAATGCTCTATTTTGTTAATTTTTGTTGAATTTAATGAAAGAAAAAATAAAATATGCGAAAATAACTTTAAATTTTTAAGTTAATTTTGGTTCAATATGATCACCTTTAGCATAAATGATGGCCTTCAAACGGCCAATGAAGCTATCGCACGCTGTTCGCAAGTGACTTTGCGGTATTTTGGACCATTCTCGGCTTAGCACTTACTTTAGACGACCTCACTTTTTAAAATATCCCAGACTGAGAAATCTAAAGGGTTTACATCAGATGAACACTGTGGTCCTGTTTTTAAGGAATAAAGCATAGAACGTTGTTTTTTAGCCATTGGTTGACCCATGCTTGCGACCGAAATGCTCAACTGCTTAGGGCTTCAGTGCGTGTTCTAAAATAGTTTCCCAATAGATTTGAGCATTTACTTTTACACTACGATCGATAAACATGAGCGGAAAGCGACCAGCAGTCGTTAAGGCGGTACACATCAACACCATCGGTTGCGTCTGCTTGGCCATTCGTATGTTTAAATTTTCAGGTGACCTATGCTGAATTACGAATGGTGACTCATCAGAAATAACCAAATTCGGCAAACCGAATTCTGCAATTTTCATCAGCAACCCTGTATTTCGCCTTGTCTCACATCATAGCTGGTTCTAAACGAAATAGTCACCACAAAGTTGTGAAAGGTCATCATTACTAGGATAATTGTTTATTTTTTTTGTAAAATAGTATGATACGAGGGATATGTTGTATGTAATTCTAACTGCTACTATCTCTCTTAGTGATTATTTAAATTATGTTTACAATATATATATCTCAACTTTATTTTTATATTCTAAGATACTTTACTTAATGAAATCTCAAATAAGATTTTGTATGCATTTCCATTTGTTCTTAATTTCATTAGCCTCTGAGTCATTGTTTGTGAAATTTTACATAAACCACATGCAAACTGCCCTTCCCTTCAAAGGAATATGGTAAGTGTATCCTTTACACAGGATTGTGAATGTGCAATTACGCAAATATTTTTAAATGTTCATTGTTTCACATGAGCTTTGTTCTTGAGTTGCTTGAGTTGCTGATGCATTTCACTGTTGTTTTGATGTCAACTTGAACGCAAACAGTTCTAAGTATCTGCATTATTTTTGCTCTTATTTTCAGTAGTTTTCAGTGGAACTGCTTCATTTGTGCTCCAAGGACTTGAATCTGACAGTGGCCTCTATTGTTGTTCTCAAATACAGTAGCTGCCATAGTGCCACCACCACATAGTGCACAGTAGCTGTTCGTCGGAAGCCAAACATATGTACGTCTGCTCGTATCCCTCTACTGTTATCCTTCTGCTAGGAGGTAGGAGCTAGGAAATCTAGCTGTGCTAAGCAAATAAAGTCTTCTTGTTGTCTCTGTTGTGCTCTAGTATTTGTGTTTGTAATTGTGTGTTAAGGATATATCAACATTTTGACAGTTGCATGCTTGCAGCTTTGCGGTAATAAACTTAAAAAATTAGTTACACATACGCCAACGCTGCAATTGACATGCGAAAGGATGCAAAGCGCATTAAAATAATGAATGCGGGTCATAATGAATGCGATACTTTCCGTCCCCTGGGATTAAATTGAATTAAAAAATGAGAATTATGAATTAAAATTTCAATTTTAATTTTTATTATCGTAACATTTTTAAATTTTTTATACTTGCCCCTTAAATTATATATTAAACTTTATTCCTGGGTGGAGTGCCTGCTTGTGTTCCAATTAAATCTTTTACAACTTCTTTATGTCAACTAATGAAAATGCACAGATTTGGGGCGAATGAAAAATTTTAAGAGATAATAAATTTCGCAATTAAGTTTAAGGCTTAAAAAACTTTTAAAGTTTTCAGCAGACAATGAGAAAGCTGCGTTGAATTGGACCTTTACATGTGAGTCGACTGTAAATTTAAGGACACATGCACCCAGTATATACTCCTACTTTCGATGCATAAATTGAACTTTGAAGGTCCTTAGAAACATTTTTTAACTATGCAGTAATATTTACAAGCTCCCACCCTACTTCGATGTCTTAAATTAGTGATTAATGACTCCAGGCTCAAGGCCTGCACTATAGTAGGTGCATCATTTTGTATAACAAATATGCTAAGTACAATGTGGAGCTTATTCTTGAGAGCTAGAATAAGTTAGTTAGTTAAAAATATGTAAATAACACAATAATATAGGACCTTATGAAGAAGCACTTCCCAAGTTGATGGAATATCATCACCCATTAGTCGAATCACAACCTAGAAATAAAATCGCACAAAACGAAAGTTAGGATTATTATTTAAAAAGGGGTAGTGTACTGTGTTCTAACAGATCTATTGTGCCCCTTAGTTGGATTAGAGTATTGCTGCAAGTTCGATTTATTTAATGAAAGACAATATGGAGCCTATCTTTTCTAGTCTTGAATCCTTATGATTAATGAAATATCCTCCTAAGTGTTTCTTCTTTTTGTGCATTAGTGCAGGGCATTCCGCAAACACATAGTATGCCGTTTCTCCCTCTTTTCTACAGTATTTACAGTCTGAGTTGGATTGTATTCCTAGCTTTGCTAGGTGATTATTCAATATTCAGTGACCGTTTAATAATCCCGTGATGATTCTTTGGTTATTTTTTGATTGTTCTATGCAATCTTTAAAACGTTTTAGGTTGTAAGTCCTTAAAAGAATATTAGATGTGATACTCTTGCTAGCCATTCCTAATAGAGTTCTCTTTCCTTTTATAGTTCTTCTAAAGTAAGGATAATTGACATAAAAAAATAATTAGAGCATTGGCGTAGCTAGGACTAGATTTTTGTGGTATGTGTTTTATTATCAAGAAGAGGTCTAATTTGTAAACCTTTCAATCCTGACTGTGCAACTTAATCGTAGGCAGTACTAAAGCAACGTTGGCAACATCAGACCCTTTCTTTTCCTTGTAACGGTTGAGCTGAATCACGTACAAGACATGCTTGTATATATCAGTACTAATTAAATCATAAACAAATGATGATTAATTAAGAATAAACTCACATTATATTTTATGAAAGAATATACGGGAATCTTTGATTTTCAGTTTTTACTTTAACTGAAATCTACTTATTGGAATACTATATATTAAGAGTTTGCATTTTCTGATATATTATAACGAAAAGTATAC